CTAGAATGTTTCATAAGCAGAAAACCACCAACGGACAAAGTTTGTTTTGTCAATGTTCAATAACTTTGTAATATTAGCTGAAATGGTCTCAAGAGTTTTGTCCAAGATTGTAGCTATATGCATTGGGAAGATGAATTTAGATGTATTTCGATGATTTTCTAAAAATTTAATGTAATTTTGGTGGTTTTCTGCTTATGAAACATTCTAGAACCAGTCTCCGAAATGCGCGCATTTTTTGAACGAACAGTATACTATAGTACAGCCCGGCTGGCAGCCGAGCAATCGGAGACAAAATTTCCGGCTGTCAGCCGGCGTCAAACGCGCTAATCGGGTGCAAAAAAATGGGGTAAATGTTTTTACAGACCTACCCTGATCTTATTCTCCCAAAACGCTACAAAGACTTGAAAGACTTTCAAGATAGCTATGGACATAAAACTTTGGTGGTATATAGAGTTTCGTACGCTGATCAACGCCCACTAATCAGATTAAAATAAAAAAATCCGGGGGGTGAATAATTTTTTTGCCTACACCACCGGAATTCGTAGGGTTGATATATATTTTTAGCTACGGTTATAGAGTGTCCGAAGCTCGTTCGAATGATATATGTCTGATCAAAATTGGTCGATTGGAACATATTTTTTTTCCGTTTAAAGGTGTTTTCAGCGAGTCGAAATATGGCAAACTTAACCTAGCTCCCCCAGTTTCAGTTCTTTCAGCTCAAATTTCATGGCAAGAATGGGTACGTGTGTTGTATTGTGCTTGCCAAATTTCCAGACAAAGGATTGAATTAGCAGGTCACAATAGACAAAAGAACCTCTTTACACCTCACGCATGAGAACGAGGCTATTTTGGTCTGAATTTCTGGATGAGTGTCCTTTGTGTCATGCTACTTCTTAGCCAGTCCACTGTTTTGGTCATTATTTAAAAAACAACATTTCGCCTTCTATTATGTTTTTTGAAAATCAGCCAATAATATTTACTAGTTGTGACGTGACTTTATGTCTGTTTGGCAGCTTCCACAGAAGACTGACGTCTCCTTAGTGTTTTTGCGAAATTTAAAAAGATTTCAATAAAACGTGTGGTAGGGAGTTGTCTCTGAACATGGTCCCAAACGCAAAATTTTTTTTACGTTCGCGAAGCTTGCTGGGAAGAATTTTAATATTTTTCGCTGAAACAACGACAGTTCGGTTAGTTAGACGGGGGCCTTTTATTCGACACCTTGTTGAACGTTTTTGAGTAATCTTTGGTTAACCGTTAATAACGGCCCAGTGACAACTTAAGTAACGAAACCACGCCCATGGTACCAATCAATTTACCGCCGTTCTATCAGCTGTACAATTTTCAGCTTTTTCCACAAACCGGAAGTGGACTTAATTGTTATCCGATTGGCCGATTTGGCGTTATTTGCTCCAGTACATGTTCTTTTAAATTACAGGCACGTCATGCAGAAGTCCTATTTCCCATACTAACTTTTTTGTTAATATATGTTCGACAAAAAATAGGTCCTTCGTGGTGAAAACACGTCCACAATGATTTTTTGGGCGAAAAACCTTGTAGGCGTTTTCACCATGAAGAACCTATTTTTCTTTCAAAATATTTTATTACGAAATGCGCAAGGGTTCTATCTATAATATGTAATCTTCGAAAATTAATATTATTTCCGGCAAGTGGATTAACCGAAAAATTTGACCTAGCACCCCTCGGTTTCAATATTTTGTCGTCAGCGGTAGTAACAGTAATGCTAATAGGTCTGTGATCATACTCAGTAAATTTGAAAAGGACGGATCAAATTTCAAGGTTACAATTAACAGAAAACCTCTTTTCTCATAACGCATCAGAATGAGGCTGTTTTTTGTCCGAATTCCTGTTCAACTCTACTTTGTGGCATGGTGCGAGCTGTCATGTCCCGAAAAAATTGGGACAAATGTCTTTTCTACGGAGGAAACGCCCTTCCAAAATGGCGTATTTTTACACTAGGCACGGGTTTTCACCATGATGAACCTATTTTTTTTAAAGATATTTTATCACAAAATGCGCAGGGGGGTGTTATGGATATCTGCTATTCAAAAATTAATTTTCTTTCTTCAAAATTGAAATATTGAAATATATTCTGTATCATCCCTCGGTTTAATTTTTTTTTGGTCACCGACTTTTCGTTCTAGAGATATCGAGGCTATCCAAAAAAGGGCGTGACTAAAATTTTAGTTTACGCTGAATCCAACGGCGGTGTCTACGTCGCGGTCTGACTTTTTATTGCGGAGATATCGAGGCTAACTTAAAAAGGACGTGGTCAAACTTTTCGACGACGTCATTTTCTGAATCAGAATTTTATGCTGAATCCATCGGTGGTATCTACGTCGCTGTTCGACTTTGCTTTGCGGAGACATCGACGCTAACTTAAAAAGGGCGTAGCCACAATTTTCGATGATGTCATTTTCTGAATCAGAGTTTTACTCTGAATCCAACGTTGGTATCTACGCCGCCGTCCCACTTTTCGTTGCGGAGATAACGACGCTAACTTAAAATAGGCGAAGCCAAAATTTTCGATGATGTCATTTTATGAATTAGCATTTTACGCTGAATCCAATGGTGCTACTTTCGTGACGTGCCAAATTTTCCTGCCGGAGATATCGAGGTTAGGGTTAAGGTCAAAAAGGGGGTGTGACCAAAAAATTTCGATAACGTCATTTTCTGAATTAGAATTTTGCGCTGAATCCAACACGGTGTGTACGTCCCGGTCCGACTTTTCGTTCCGGAAATATCGAGGCTATCCAAAAAGGGGCGTGGCCAAACATTTTCATGACGTCATTTTCTGAATCAATATTTTACGCTGAATCCAATGGGGCTACTCTCGTGACGTGCCAAATTTTCGTTCCAGAGAAATCGAGGTTAGGGTTAAAGGTCAAAAAGGGGTTGTGGCCAAAAAATTTCGCTGACATCATTTTCTGAATCAAAATTTTACTCTGAATTCAGCGCTGGTGTGTACGTTCCGGTACGGCTTTTCGTTAGGTAGATATCAAGGCTATCCAAAAAGGGGCGTTTGCAAAATTTTGGATGACATCATTTTCTGAATCACAATTTTAAGTAGATTCCAAAAATACAACTTTCAGGGTAGCGCAAATTCAATTCCCTGCTACAAGAGCCTTGAAAATCAATAGAACATCAGGTTGGAAACCGCATAATATTAACTTTCACGTCTTTTTCGATTATGCACCTGGAATAACCTGCTTTGTTTCTTCATAAACTGTCTTTTGATATACGAGTAAGGCATCGATAGAAAGCTTATGGACCGCAGATTATAAAAATGACAAATTCACGTCTTTGCTACAGGGACCTTGGAATTCAATAGAACATCACATTTGTCAAATGTAGGTGGGCCTCTACTCAAGTGGCCGTGCCCGCAGTAATTGGCTATTCGCTGTTGCGGTCACCCAGCCATGGTCATGTGCTGCATTTCATCATGTATATTTGTTTTTGTCCTGTCATGTTAGGTACTGTACTACAGTATCATCGGCAAAGACAAAGTTTATAAATTAAATAAATAAAAAATTAAAGGTGATCTACAGTCCGATCTGCGCATGTGCACAAATGAGCCCACTTTTTATGATACAAACAGTTTAACTATGTTTTGAGTTCTTGAAAAGCCTGATTGTTGTTTTTTGATCATTTAGTATACTCTAGAAGCTTGAAAATATAAATAGTTGTCGAATAAAGCTCAATATTTTGGGCACAAAAATGTAAACAAAGGCTTTGTTTACATACGGACTGTAGATCACCTTTTAATAAATATAAAGTCTCTCTGTTCTTGTGCTTATTTATATATATTAATTCTGTGTTACGATGGGCACATATATAAATTTCACACCATATTAAACCTTTATGAACATTTAAACAACCACAATTTACACAAGTAATTAAAAACTGGCAGTCTCTGTCTGGCATGTGTGGTCGGTATGGCTGGTCGACAAAATCGATCGGTCAAAATAACTCATTGGTTGCCGGTCATATCCTTATCGCGTGTCAATTTACAAAACTCGAGGCAGGAGTAACCAACAAACTGTTATCGTATCATAACTGGGATCACTATAATAATACGTCTGCAAATAGTCTGCCTATTATTTTAAGCTTCACTAAAGCCCGCCGCACACGTTCGTCTAATTTTAAGTATGAAGGCCAGTCATCACAATTCATTGCTTTGTATGCTAATTAACCTCATTTGGCAAGATGATAATTCCTACGTTCCAAAATTGGAAGCCAACCGAGAGACATGACATCAACATCAGCGAAAAACAACGATCACCTGAAAAAGTCAATTTATCCATGTTTTAGAAGCAATGAAACAAGGACTAAAAGCTCAGAATAAATAACAATGGTTGAGACAGATGGCGAGAGTGGGTGTCCCCCCCCCCATTTTGTTGGTATAGGTTACTGCCGTGACATTGTCCATTAGAAGGAGTCCCTGGGCTTTTGCCTTGGATTTGGTAAAACATTTGACTGCTAAGGACTCTGCTAGGAGCTCTAGCAGTTTATGTGATGTAGCGACCATCTCGCGCCTGTTAACACTAAAATAAAACAACTAACTAATTTTTACTAGTTTTACTAATTTTACCTTCAAACCACCTTAAAAATGTTCCTTGAGTTCTAAGCTTTCGAATGATATGCGAAATGGCAGAATCCTTCATGGTGAATTCACTTTGCCCTACCTACCTTTTTTGAAAAAATTTTTTTTTGATTTTGTGACGTCATAACTCCACCCCTTTCAATCAAATTTTCCCAAACTTGGCATGAGGCAAGTATCTCGATTGACGGAAGACAAAAAAAAGACCGGATTCATGAATCTGGACTCATAAAATTTTGGACTGGAAATCGGAGTATGGATCCGTTTTAACAAAAAATGTATTTTCAGACCCTGTTCAAAATACGTATCTCGATGCGCTGATCATTTCTCTCTAGGTCTCAAATGACATTTTGAAAAAAGTTAATACACCATGCGTGGGCACTTAGAAAAATTTTAG